CTAACTTTACATACTATAACATTAATTTATGTATTTCGAATTTATTATAAATAAAAAGTATTTTTGTTTTGTTTATTCCAGTTCTTTGTCTGATTCAGATTTGTCGTATCGTTTGCCATCTTTTGAATTGGTTTGAAGATTTGATTCAAGTTTTTTTTTTTTAACCCAGCTGAAGATTACAAGACTTTCAAAAAGGCTAAACGCCTATACTAGAGTAATATCGTATTACATACTTCTATTTATTATGTTGTATAATTAATTCAATACTGAAATAATAAATTAGCTAACCCTCATAAAGATTTTTTTTATACTGTTCGATAATTTCTAATTAGTTTCATCTTCACTTGATTTGTCGTCTTTTGCAATATTATTATTGCAAAGAACCGTTGAGTTGATTGTTATAGAAAGTTGTAAGTAGTATGCGAATTTTTCAGCTTTTCAATTAATGAATAATATGAAATTCGATAAAATTATTAATACATATATGTTCTTAAAAATGTGATAAACATAAGAATATCTATCCATCATCACCTTTCTCACGGAGCTTAAAATTTTCAATGGATATTGAGTTTGTATGTGGTTTATCGATGTTTCCTAATTTTGTCAATTTGATTTGAAAACTTATAATTACGTTAAGATCCATTCGTCAGTATTAATTATAAGATTTATAGATTACTTTTTGAGACCTTCAGGCATTCATATTCTGCTCTTAAAGGTAAGTACACAGTACATGTTTTTTTTTTTTATTATTATTTCAAATTTGCATTATTATTCGACAGGGCAAATCATAATTTTATGAAATATTTGGTAAGAAGAATACTTGTTAATTTATTATAAAACATACATCGTCATATTAGTAAATATCGTCATAAACATTGCATCGTATATTTTAATCAAATTTTTTGGTAAATATTTTAACTCCGTACGTAACTGATCTTGGTTGTGATGCTAGGTTCGTGCGACAAATAAGCTCGAAATCACCTTAAATAAATTCAAGGTTTGCTGAGTTTATTAAGAAAATCTTTGTGTAAATAAAGGACCAGATATTTAATATAAATTAATTTCGGTACATTTTGACTGTTTACCCTGTTTTATCTTTGTCCTGTCAATATTCTGTTTTATAATACCCTGGCTCAACTCTCTCACATGACTTTTGTCAGGAGAAAATTTACTAGTTGGTGTATTATTTATTCAGTAAATTAGTAATGAAAATACCCCGATTTATTATATGTATATATGCATCGGGAAAGTATTTTAGTAGCTTTTAAACATATCCAGGGTATTACCCTTTTATAACAACCTGGGTACTTATTATAGCAATTTGAAATTTACATCAGGTTTTTTTTTACTATTTAAAAAATACATATATTTCAACGACTAAGAAAAATTTAACATTACCATTGTGGCGATCATCTTGCTGAGTCGCTTATGGAATTATTAAAGGTGCAAACGGGGACTGAGATCAGGTAAGCTAATTGGCCCGATCTTTACTTTTGTTGTAATTGTCATCGAAATTTTCATTGTCATATTAATTATAGATTTCGTTACTTTCACCATTAACTTCGTCATTGCCATCACCCTTATTGTATTCTTCAGTTTCATTATTATCATTCTTGTAAATGTAAAAATTCAAAAATTTACAAATTAATTTGTAAAATAAATATAAATCAATGTACCTTTTGTGTACTGCATGTTTTGCAATGTTGATTCATTCTGTGTGCAGTATATAAAAAATATTATATGCCTTTACCGTACGATACTTGTAATATTCATAGCAGCTTGGACATCCAAATTGGTGTCATTTAATTTTGAGCCTTGTATTTACTGAGGGAATGGTTAACGATTCTTCTATCATTGCAATCGATGACTGTAATAAATAAGTTTTTTTCATAAAGCTGGATAATTTATCATGAACTAAATGAAGCTTTAAATACCAAACATCGTCTATAAAAAAAAAAAAAAAGTAATACTGTATTCCTCCAAAAATAAGCACCCCTCGGAGCAATTTTTATTGCCAAAATTCTCGTGATCTAGTGACTGAATTTGCATAATTTTGGTGCGATTCGAATCGAATTATCAAAATGATTTGAATGGTACTAAAACTAGATAAATGGAAGCCATTTAAGGTCTGAAGAACTTATCACAGATCAGTCTCATAATAAGACATTCATCTGATTGGTTATATTTGGTAGATCTACCCGTGATTGCCCATGAAATTACATTTAATATGGGTGGTGCGCATTTCGCCGACAATCACTTTACCGACAGCTTAGTTCACCGACAATTAATTAACCGTCAAGTTCATTTCACCGACAATTATTTCACTGACAACATTTCGCCGACAAGATAATTCTGGTCATTGTTGTTAGTGTCAGGTTAGAATTAGAGCTAAGGTTAGTGTAATTTATAAAAAATACTTGTCAGTGAAATGAGCTGTCAGTGAAATAATTGTCGGTGAAATGAACTTGTCTGTGAATTGATTGTTGGTGAACTAAGTTGACTGTGAAGTGATTGTCAGTGAAATAACACATATCCATTTAATATTCATACTCCCCAGAAAAATAGCAATTTTTAAATCTTTGAACGAAGATATCTTGATAACAACTTGACTAAATTTGATGAACTTTTTTTATTTAAATTCTGTGGATTCGTAGAATTCAAACAAAAAAAAGTTTATGAATTTGATCAGGTTGTTGTCAAGATATCTGCATTCAAAGTTTTAAAAAAATTTGGCGCAGCTTTTGTTTTGATAGACGTTTTTGATTTTTCTTTAACTTTGAGTGAAGATATCTTGATATCTACTTGACCAAATTCGATAAACGTTTTTTTATTTTAATTCTATTAATCTGTAGAATTCAAATAAAAAAAAGGTCATCGAATTTGGTCAAGTAGTTGTCAAGATATCTTCGTTCAAAGTTTTAAAAAATTTGGCATAGCTTTTGTTTTGATAGACATTTTTGATTTTTCTTTAACTTTGAGCAAAGATATCTTGACTCCTACCTGACCAAATTCGATGAACATTTTTTTATTTAAATTCTATGGATATAAAATTTAAATAAAAAAAAAGTTCATCGAATTTGGTCAGGTTGTTGTTAAAATATCTTTGTTCAAAGTTTTAAAAATTGCTATTTTTGCTGGGGGGTATAAAAATTGATCCCCTTTTATTAATACTACAATACTAGAAAACGAAAAAAAACTTCGAATAAGGAAGCTTACAAACTAATAAATACACACAAAAGAATTAATTACTTATATTTAGAGAATAGATATATATGTGTAAAGTAGGCAAATATGATGTTTATTACTAATAATCCAAACTCATTAAAGAATCTACATACAAGATCTATGTACAATATATAAACTACAACTTATTAATATATAGTTGACAAGCCTAAATGCACTACAAGAGCTGACCAAATTTAAATATTAAACCCAGATCTCTACTACTAAGAGCTTGTACCTATTCAAATTAAACAGTTAAAAGTAGAAGTTTATCTAAATCTAACGTAATAAAATAGCTTTAGATGAAACATTGCTAGTTATCTTCATTCTACAATATGGTTCAATAAATAGTAGGCATACTTTGTCTTCTAAGTAAAGTTCTCAGGGTTACCGATTATTTTTGATTATTTTTGTATAGTGAATATAAACATTCTTTCAAAATAAAAATGACTTTTGCGGTAATTTTTTATTAGTGAAATACCTATTAATAATTGATGTTCTATAATTTATTATATTACTTATTATTTTGGTAAATTATTGACTGTAAGTACTATATAGTAGCAAGCGATTTAGTCAATAAAGGTTATCTACATATGTAATTGTATCAATAAATTGTTAAGCTTAAGGATGTTATTTTTTTAAATTAAGTTTAACCAAATGCACAATTGACAATAACTACGTATTGGGATTCATGTATTAAATATTATCATTATGAATAAAAAATTTATAATTTTAATATTCTTTTATTAACGAATTTTTTACTGTGAACTTATTTTTTATTAGCCAATCAAATTTTGTTACGTCACAAAATGATCTACAAAAATTAGCCAATGATAATGAAAGCCCTCTATGCTGATCAGTCAACAGGAGGAAACGTCCAATATAGATATGATTTTCATTCTCGTTACACAGATCACTCATTGTATCGACCAGTCAAAATATCACTACGGGATTAGTCAACCAATCAAATTGCGAAATTTACAAAAAGACGAAACCGTGGGATTCAAGGGGATTCAAAAAACATGTTGTAAAGCAAAGTGAGAGCTTCATGTTTGTTTAATCATTTTCAATATTCATAGAAAAGATAAGTCAAACGAGCCTTCCAAAAAAGTATTGTAAAATAATATAAAAAAAATTTTTATCAATTGTGTAACGATTTTGTGACGTATCAACGTTTCCTCCTGTTTGATCAGTCCGAAATGGATATTTTCGGAGCAAATGTTTGTTTTTATCAGATCAACCAACCAAAACCCTTAATTTGCGGACACACACACACAACCAGGTCACTATAACTCTCCCGTAATGTCCTTCGGACAATTATATAGATGCAATCATTAGATAATGAGAATTGTGGCTATAAAAATTGTTCTGAGGGGTCTTATTTTCGGAGGAATACGGTAATATAAATAAATAAATATATATATAACATTCAATTAAATGAATGATGTTACCCGAGTAATTAATAAGTGATGCCGAAATATTTCTTCCTTAGCATTTGGCGATCGGTCCATATACTTTTTTGGGTATTTTTGAGGTGTGGCTTTTTTTTATACGATTGATGCCTTTTTTTTTATGGGTTTCAAACTTTTTACGAGTGTCAAATGAATCAACGTAAATTGAAAAGAACGTTTCATTTAATTTGATCTTTTTTTTTTTTGTACGATAATGGTCAAAATAAAAATATTTTGATTATAATATTTAATATCATTTTATATCAAGGTTTAATTATGTATGAGCTAATTACGTATTTTGTCATGTGAGAGGTTAGGGTATTATTATTACATATATCCTACAAAACTATATCATCATAAATAATGCAATAATGAATTTTATTAATTTACTAAGACAGGTTATTTTATGAGTAAATAAAAAAGACTAAGAAAAAACGGTATAATTCATCATTTTCAAATTCATTTTACTGTTTTTAAATATGAGATCACAAAAAACAAAGTCCTGAGAAGCTGTATTAAAAATGCTGAACAGTAAATAACAATGCTGAAGCAGCACTTATTTATGAAAAATTACAACTATACAGGCTCAACATTATATTTAATATAAGTCAATACAACTTTTTACTATCAGAAAAATTTGTATACTTTTTTAACCAGAAACGTAGCACAAGTTACAGTGACATTTCACAACTTCTAAATATATATAAATTACAATCCAAATTCCTAACCTTTAACATTAACGTTAAACCCTTAATCTTTTAAAAACATGAATACATTAATGAACGAATGTCTCTATGAAATATTTAACAACCTTCGAACATATCATAAAAGCTTATTTTCATGCCTTCTTGTAAACCGACTATGGTGTAGAATTATTGTACCAATATTATGGAGTGATCCAGGTGTTCACTTTAATAATAAAAGTCTTGTAAAAACATGTCTTTTAGCATTAAACGCTGAAGAACAAGCTCTATTAATCCCTTTTAATATAACCCTTCCAAAATATTTAAAACCATTATTTGATTATACAAGTCATATTACATCTGTTGACCTTTGTTATTTAACGAGAGGAATTGAAAATTACTATAATATAGATTACGAAAATCGAAGAACTGCTATCGAATGTTCTTTGGCTCTAATGTTTTTACGATCTAGTAAAAAACTTAAACATCTAAATTTTAATAGAATAATTTATAATGAAACTATATTTGTAGAAAGACTATGTGAAAACACTTCTATTACCTCCTTAAAATTATTAGGTTGTAATCTTAAAGATGAGGCTTTAGCTAAAATTTTCAACAAATGCATCACCCTGACTTCATTAAACCTTATAGGCAATCAATTTGGTCCTGAGACGACTAAAGCGTTAGTAAGGACTCTGTGTGCTAACAATACAACATTGACTTCTTTAAATCTTACTAGAAATTTTCTATATTCTAAAGAAGGAAAATTATTAGCGAAAGCACTTTACAAAAACACCACTATAACTTCATTAGATCTTAGTTGGAATAAATTTAATTGTGAAGTTGGAAAAGCATTAGCGCAGACCCTTTACATAAACACTACTTTGACTGATTTAAATCTTTACCGTAATAAACTTGGTTCTGAAGGTGGAAAAGCGTTAGCGAAGGCTCTATGCAATAATTCGACTCTAATTTTTTTAAATCTTAGTTATAATCAACTTGGTTTTGAGGGTGGGAAAGCATTAGCAGAGGCTCTATGCAAGAATTCTACTTTGACTTCTTTAAATCTTTTCTATAACCAACTTGGTTCTGAAGGTGGGAAGGCGTTGGCAAAGGCTCTATGCAAGAATTCGACTCTGACTTTTTTAAATCTTAGCAAAAATGAACTTGGTTATGAGGGTGGAAAGACGTTAGCAAAGGCATTATGCATAAATAATACTCTGACTCATTTTTATATTGGTGATAATCAATTTGGTTCCGAGGTAGGGAAAACATTAGCAGAAGCACTTTATATAAACGCTACTCTGACTTCTTTAGAACTTTTCAACAATGAACTTAGTTCTGAGAGTGGGAAAGCGTTAGCAGAGGCACTATGCAAAAATAAAACTCTGACTTCTTTAGATCTTTCCTATAATCAACTTGGTTTTGAGGGTGGGAAAGCGTTAGCAGAGACTCTATGCAAGAATTCTACTTTGACTTCTTTAAATCTTAGCAGTAATGAACTTGATTCTGAGAGTAGAAAAGCATTAGTAGAGGCTCTATGCAAGAATACAACTCTGACTTCCTTAAATCTTGGCGTTAATTGACTTGGCCATGAAGTAGTGAAAACATTTGCAAAGGTCCTTTATATACATACTACTTTGAATTCTTTAGATCTTTCCATGATCCACTTAGTACTAAGCGTAGGAATGCATTAAAGAAAGCGCTTCATAACAATGCTACCGTGGTTTTCTTTTAGTATTCAATTACAATATGTTAAAGTCAAAATTAATTTGCCATAATGCGACGCTATTACATTGTGTGCTATAAGGGCATATCGGGATTGCAAAGCAATTCAACATAAAAACTCGTTTCATTTTAAAAATATAAACTGAAATATACATTATTTGTTTCAATCGTGCTGAAGCTGAGTGGAACGTAGCAAAATCCCAAACATTATTATGCAAAATTTCCTGTTCAATTAAATAGATCCTGATTTAGGTTCATTAAACTTAAGGGTGTTCAAGTAATACTCAATTAATTAGCTAGTGATCATAATGGTAAAAATTAATTAGATCTTTGTTAAAGAACATAAGAACAAATGATATTATAATTGACGTATCTTTCTCAATGTAATTAACTTGTAATTGCGTTTATATTCAAGAGTTGCAATAATTGAAATCCTGATTTCGACTGATGGTTGTGCAGATAGCTTTATTATTACTATCTTATCATTATCATTAAAAATTATATTATTGCTTTTACAAAATGTAATAAAAAAAAGAAAGGAAAAAAGACGATGAACTAATTGAAAGTCCTCAGAAATTCCAGTTTCTGTTTCGTCTTTTCCAACTTTGCCAATTTTCATATGTTGCTATTACAAAACTAGCTGGCACAACTTTTCTGGATTCTTTACTATAAATAAACCAAATGCTGAATGTGAAAATTTTTATTATTGATGCAATATTTTTAGGTTCTCTTTTTGCTTTGGTTAACGTTGAATGAATGTTGTATCAGTGTCATATAAATAAAGACAGAATATGGTAAGTATGCCATTTGTAAATTTCAGCTTTCTGCCTTCTTTGTTTCTAGCGAAAGTTTTTAGCATAAGCGCTGGTCACGATTTTGAAGATCCACAATTATAGAAGAGTAAAGTGTTTGACCGGCTATTTTTTATAATCTATCAATGAAAAATTTTAGCCAATCAGCGCAACTCTGAAAAAAAAAGGATGTTTGGACCTTCATTTCTTATTAATTGGAATAAGTAATTTTGATTGGCTAAACAATATTCCGCTAATAAATTATTCTCTGGCAATAATAAACTGCTGTGCTATATCAATCATTGGAATATTAATACAATTAATTCGGAAACTCTTTTTTTACTAATTAAAATTTGCTTCCCGACCTATAGTGTTACGAATCAGAGCAAAAAATGTAATCGAATAGTTGAAAATTTTTTAAAAATCGATTACAAAATTGATTATTGCTAACTGATCAATTAATCGATTAATCGTTTAGTTGATTAATCGATTAACCGATTAGTTGTTTAGTTGGCCTAATTTATGAAGATAGTCTGATACAAATTTATTAAAAAGCTAATTAATGTAACAGTAAACGCAACTAGGAAATTAATCGATTAATCGATTAATAGTTAACCGATTAATTGATTAGTTGGTTAATCGATTAATAGTTAGATCAAAATTTTTATTGCGGTTTACAAAAAAAATGTGAAATTTGTAGATCAAAAAAAAAAAGAAATCGATGATTTTTGATTTCTGATTGCCGATTTCTCTAATATATCAACTAATATTATACTATATAAAGACTTGTACATATATATATTTATTTACATACATTTTTTTTTAAAAAAAACCATTTATAATAACAAAATTTATTATCCCGGAACATGCTTTGGATGCACAAAGTGTCTTTTTTGTACAACTTCTAAAATTTATTGTAATGAAATATATATATGTTGTGCCTCAGATGCATTCTTGCGTCAGATGACACCCGGCCTAAGTTAGATTAGGGTTAGGGTAAAATTACGGTAAACTGGTCAACTTATGGTCATCTGACGTGCGTCAGGTGCAATTTGACGCAGGTTTTAATCTGACGCACAACATATATATTCCAATAAAAAAATTTATAATAAGTTTCTTATGTTTTTACTTTGAAATTCCAAGCTTCTATCAGTAATAAACAAATTAATTTTCTAGTATCATATAATAATTCTTATAAGATCGAATTGGTGCAACTTTTAAAATTTTTGCTTATCTGCAATAGTAAATTTTTATTGGGCTAGAAAAGAAACAAAATTTAATATTACACAATTAAGTTCTTAACAACATAATGAATATGCAAATTATATTCCTACAAAAGATGCTAAATCAAAATATGTTACAAAATTATGAATCTACAACTTTTATTTCTGTAAAAAAATGTTAAAGAAATCAGCAATCAGAATCAGAAACCATTGATTTTTTTTTTTATTTGATCTGCAAATATCATATTTTTTTGCAAACCACAATAATTGATTAGTTGTCAACTCAACCAACTAAATGATTAGTCATATCACTACTGGCCTATTCCGACCAATCAACTAAAGCATTTAAGAACACCTAAATAAATTCAATGTTTTTATCTTTTATTTTAATTTAATCTGTAAGCTAGATTGTAAAAAATAATGAGCTAATTTTCTTCACTATTTTTATTCAATACAATATTGTCTGTTAAACAGAATCTACTAGTCATTTTATTCAATGCAAAGGCTCTAGTTGGATGTTCTCACACAATCATTAATATTCTTATTTTTACTTTTCAATTTCTTGTTACTATGCCAGACCACATTACAGATAATATGCTTTATTTATACTATATAATATTTAAAAATCCTGCATAATGAAAACACATGTGTGATCTGCATGTAATTCACTAAATTTTTTCCGAAATTTTGTTTTACTCTTAGAACTTTTCAGAACCTAGCCTGATTTATGCTACTGGTTAGGATTATTTTATGTGAAGTCTAACAAAATCCTGCATATTATATAGAGAAATATGTGTAGGATTATAATATATGTGGATTGTGCATGTTAATTATCACTAGTCACAGTATATAAATAAGATTGTGTTATTTGCATTGGATTATTATGATTTTATCATAAGTTACTATAATAAATTTATTATGAAACTTACTTGCTAGTTTAGTGATTATACTATGTAGACTATAATTGAATTAGTTTGCATTATAATTATTATTTCTATTAAAAGTTACTATAAAAACTTGTTCATTACTCACTATTCCAGTAATATATAGTACATAATTAAATTATGCTAGCTTGCATTAAAATTATAATTTTATTATAAGTTATTATAAATCATTTTATTACAGAACACTTGATATCTTAATAGTCATAGTATATAGTTAAAGCTGAGTTAGTTTGTATTGAAGCTATTATAATTTCTAATATGAGTTAGTCTAAATGTTCTATTATAGAAATTACTACTATCTTGGCAGCATATAGTATATAGTCAAGTTTGTATTAGTATTGTATTATTAGAATTATCTAAGTTTTAATTATTAATATTAATATATAATTCTTTAAAAACTAAGTGTCTTATAGCAAAAATTTAAATATCAACTTCTAAGTTTTTTATATAATATTCATATATAGTATATTTCTTAATTATTAATAACTTGAAAGTAGAAATTTTAATTAAAATTATATATGCTATCAAATAACTAGAAAATTATACTAAATTTGCTGCAGTGAAAATTCAAATCCTATTTCTAGTTTTCATTTTGCAACACTCAATCAATTAAATATTATAATAAATTTTATTTTAAATAAAATATTTTTACTTACTTGCTATTTGAAAAAATAATACTACAAAACATCAAATTTCTAAAATTTATATAACTTTTTTAACTAGGCTATAATTTAGGTCAAAAAAGTTTGTGTTAGATTTTAGCCTAGATTGCTATTTTTTAACCTAAGTAAAACCTCTAGCAAAAGTTTGTTAGTTTAAACATTATTTGAATACTTTATTGTTTTTTGTTTTAATTTTGTATTAAATTTAATTTTTAATAATTATTTTTTTTATATTAAAACTAGTTAACTAGTTAAAGCTAATTTATTATATAAAAATAAAATTTTATACAAAATTTTTCTAAATATAGCTATTGTACATATTATAAATAGTTAATTTAGTTTATCTAGCTAACAAAGTTATCTAGATAATTATTATATAAGACAATTACTAATTACAATATAATTAAATAAAAATATTATAAAATTTACTAACTTTAAACAAACATTGGGTTAGAATATTTTAATTGATTAATTAATTATTAAATTATATTTATTTTATTTAGTAGATTCAGAGAAAAGTTTTTATTTATCTAAATAAATTTTATTTTTATTTATACTAACAAGGTTTGTTGTGATTGTATTTTTATTATAGAAGTTATAGTACTATATTAATTTATTGTAATAATATTATTTTGAACAATAGTTGTTATATTATTAATATTAGTTGTACTAGTTTATAAACAATTGTTGTTGTCTTATTATTAGTAATATAATAATTATAAAAAACTGTATTTACTTGAGATTCATAATTGTCAATACTACTTTCATTTGTACTAATATTAATACTAATTGCTTTAGCACTAATATTAAAAAAAATTAAGAATAAAGATATTAGTATACTTTCTAAAATATTTAATGGAAAAAACTCTTTCCCGTAAATCCCTAGTACAAAAATTTCTAAAAAAATTCTAAAACACAAAAACACTTTTTACATCTAATTTTATTAAATAATCATACTATTTAGCCTTAAATAAAATTGTCGCTCATACAATTTTACATATAATATTTAAGTTTCAAGCCATTAGCTTTCAAATTCCTAAAGCTAAACGCCTTGACGGCCTTTTTGGCCCAAAAGTCAAACTTTT